GTGTGCTGACTGCCAAGAGCAGGCAATCAACCTTCTGAAAAAATTCTACCCGCCTTTCTCTACCTAACACACCTCCTGCCCTGAGCCATCAAGGCCCCAAATCAACCAAGAGTTGAATGGAGATCCAGACTTATCTATTAAAGTTTGGGTTGTTCTCAAGTAACAGTAACAGCTTCCTACTTCCCTTCTGAGATCTTAAGTCTTGCAGTATGTTTGTTTTCTAATAAACTCTTTTTTGGCCTAGCAAATACAGCTTTGGTTTTACTTATTCATTCTAATTATTTCCATTAAATGTAAATGTAACAAAAATGCACTGATTGTCTACCCTCTGCAAGCCGCAGACTATATGGTATACAATAGAAACTAAAGTTGAGTTTAAAATGTTGCCCTGTCCAAGAAACTTCTAGGGAGATGAATCAAATTTACAATAGCTCAACTAAAAATTAGAATATGAAAAGGGTACAACATACTGGATGGTGTCAACCAAGAAGTTACTATTAACTAGGGAGAACAAGAAAGACTAAAAAAGAACCTAACATTTTATATGGGTTAAGATTTAGGTGTGCAGATCTGAGGGAAGACCACATTTTCAATAATGTAAACAGTATGCATAACAGTATATATAGAGAGACTGTTCAGAGATATTTTAACTGGGAGCCCTGGATATGTGTAGAGTAATAACAGAAGATAAATTTGGAAAATGTGTGTGCTTTGAATACTAGCCAAAAGAGTATGTAGTTTAGGCAATATAAGCACCAAGGAAATGTTGAAATCCTTAGGACAGGGGAATGTCATGACAGGAGTTGGGCATAGGGATAATTCCTATGGTAGCTGCTTATAAAAACTAAGGGCCAAAGGCTAGACATAAAATGACTACACAGAAACAAATCAAGAGGCCCCTACACTGGTCCAAGTGACACACCATAGAGCTAACTAAGATGATGATCATGGAATAAAGAGGACACAAAGAGTATGGCAGACATAGAAACCCAAGAAGGAGTATTGGCTAATCTGAATGTGGGAAACAAGAAACAACCAGCAATAAAATAATTGGGAATGTCAGCCTTATGAGAAACTCTTCTAGTCAGAAGACACTTAAAAGAATTTTAAAATATTTATGCTCATTTACTACATGTTTAAAACCACAACTCTGTAGTGTATTCTGCCTACCACTAATATTTCTATTCTTAAGCTATTATAGAATATTAGGAAAAAACTCAGAAGACAAAGAGTTTCACTAGCTTTAATTGATCCTGAAAAGTAGCACAGTATAAAGTAAAATGAGCTGATTTAGGAATAAGGGATAAGAGTTTTATACCCAGCTCTTCTGGCTATGTTCTGGATGTATTTGAACGGAGCAAGTCACTAACCTCTCCAAAGTGCAGCCAGTCTCAGCTCAATATTATTCTAACAGCAACTGATGTTGACAGAAAGTTAAAAGTAGTCCATACTACAATATCAATGTTCCAGTTTAGAACTTTGAGGCTGACTGGTTCTATGTTCAACTCTTTTCCTTGATTAATCTGGCCTATGCTGACTTGTGCACTAGAGCAAGATACGAAGCAAGCAGATTGGGTCCTGCCTTCTACATAATCCTTTAGTACCCCATGCATAATGTAATTTAATAAATGTACTACTTTTAAAAAGAATGATGTCAGTTTCTACACCTATATAATTAAATGGTTGGACAAGATGAGTTATAAAGTTTTTGATCTCCAACATTCGGTGATTCCTTCGACCATCTTTGAACTTCATATCTGCCATCATGGTTACCGTAGGACATGACCATCTTTATTGACAGGGGCATGATTCACACTCTAAGGTAATTTTATCACTGTCCAAACCAACACCTCCACCTCATAAAAGCTAACTATGTGCTTCTACTCATGGTTGGAAGGCAAGAATAAACCTACCACAAGTAGTAATCATGTATTTTTTGGTTACCACTTTTTTCATTTCCTCCTACGTAACCCTAAACTTCTAATGGAAAATCACGTTCTTTTGTTGAGCAACCACCTCCTGGTGGTTTCGATTTTTATTTTGCTGAAATTTATCTTAATCTCTTTGCACTTATACCTACTGAATGATATTTGATCATCTATTTCCTAACCTGCCTTATGATGTGATCCAGAAAAAGTAGTTCCCAAATCCTACTCTTTCTTTTATTGGTTCCCCTTCAGAAATTCAACTGTCTTGCTCTTCTGTCTGATACTATCCTTTCATAGGAAACAAGGTTAGCTACATAAAATGATGTAAATTGAAAATGAATCCTTCCTTTGAGAAATTCTATCTAGATAATCCATACAGTAGTGATTTTTATCCATCACAGAGAAATGTCAATTACACTTTACACTTAAAATTTTTTGTGTTTTTTTTACTAATTACTGGATATGAATTTTAGCCCTTTTAAATTTTAAATTTGTGCTAACAAAATATCCACAGTAAGTTGGAATGGAGCAGATTTTGTTCCATATACCCTCCTCAGTGATAAATATTTCCTCAAGTCTGAATGTGTGAAGTCCAAGAGAGAGCATAGAAATTAGAGAGATCCAATTTCTGGAAAGATCTATGAATTCCTATGAAAGTGGATTTTATCAGAGTCTCTATATAGTTGATTGTAGAAACTATAATTGTAATAATCCCCCAAAATGAGAGACTCCTTACATGAAGGACTATCAATGGTTCATAATTTTATTCTGGAGACTGAAGGTTTGGTAAATATGACCCCAAGGTCACACTGTCTTATGAGTGATAAGTGATGTGATCGTAAGTGGAAAACAAAGGCCAAGGCATTGTTTAAAAATGAAATGTCAATATTTCTACAAAGGACAAACACATTTGATGAGTATTAGCTGAGCAAAAGGAAAAACCAATTTGGAGATATATTTGAAATAACTTAGTATTTGAACAATTGAGGGCCCCAGAAAAGCTTGTTTAAAGAGTAATAAGATAAAAATGCTGTCCCTCACAAACACAGGAACTGGCCAAGGCCTATAAAAGGTCCAGGGGGAACAAGCAGACCTAACTCAGAAACTTTTCCAAGCACCCAAATTCTCAGCCCAGCTTCTGACATCATGGCCTGTTGCTCTACCAGCTTCTGTGGATTTCCCACTTGTTCCACTGGTGGGACCTGTGGCTCCAGCTGCTGCCAGCCAACCTGCTCCCAGACTAGCTGCTCCCAGCCAACCTGCTGCCAGACCAGCTGCTGCCAGCCAACCTGCTCCCAGCCAACCTGCTGCCAGACCAGCTGCTGCCAGCTAACCTGCTCCCAGACTAGCTGCTCCCAGCCAACCTGCTCCTGGACCAGCTGCTGCCAGACCAGCTGCTCCCAGCCAACCTGCTCCTGGACCAGCTGCTGCCTGACCAGCTGCTCCTAGCCAACCTGCTGCCAGACCAGCTGCTCCTAGCCAACCTGCTGCCAGACCAGCTGCTCCCAGCCAACCTGCTGCCAGACCAGCTGCTGCCAGCCAACCTGTTCCCAGCCAACCTGCTCCCAGACCAGCTGCTGCCAGACCAGCTGCTCCCAGCCAACTTGCTGCCAGACCAGCTGCTGCCAGACCAGTGGCTGCGAGAAAGACTGTGGCATCAGTGGTACCACAGGCTGTGTCCAGGAAGGTGACAGCAGAGCTCTGAGCTGCCGCACCAGGTGGTGCCACCCTGACTGCCACGTGGAGGGCACCTGCCTGCCTCCCTGCTGTGTGGTGAGCTGCACCCCACCAACCTGCTGCCAGCTGTACCTCGCCCAGGCCTCCTGCTGCCGCCCATCCTACTGTGGACAGTCCTGCTGCCGCCCAGCCTGCTGTTGCCGCTGCTGTGAGCCCACATGCTGTGAGCCCACCAGCTGTGAGCCCACCTGTTGAAAACCTTCTGATGGGAATTCTGAGAAAGTGGCACTGAAAAATTAGCCAATGTAGAGTCCCAACAAACTTCTGAGCTCTAATACCCATAACCCAGCTTGCAACCTCATGTCACATGGCTATGTAAATTCCCTAAGATGGAAATTTATAAAATATTTCATAAACCTGGATAGCAACAGAAGTCCTACAATGTGAAAAGGGATGTGTAATACTTCTCTATAGATATCATCTGAAATGTTTCAACAGCTCATTGGGTTGTGGATTTAATAAAATTTTTCATTCTTCAGTGATGAAGTCATTGTTGGAGCTATCTTTTCTTTGGTATTTGCTATTGATATTGGGGTACTGGGAGTTTTCAAAATCTCAATAAATGTGGCAGTATGGTTTTTCCTTATTACTGCGCTTTTCATAATGGCCTTTAAAAGGTGGTTTTCCTTTGTTTTGCCATTAAATGATCCAATATTCTGCAGCCAAAATATATGATTAAAAGAATGCATCAGTATTTCGGAACTACTTCCTGAAGTCCTCACATATGCAAACTGATGGGCTAGGTGTTCCAGAGGACCAATTTTACAGAAAGGACTTTTATGTCATTTAGCTTCTTGAGGTATTGCGAACCCCATTCATTTCATTCATACATAATTCTGTGGACAATTCTTTCAATCATCAAGGGCATTAAAAGGGTAATACAAAATAGGAAAGATAGTTATTAACATAATATTTAAAGGCATCCTGAGCTCTAGTCCTCACTTTGTAACTAACAATCCATGAACTCTTGAGCAAGTCTCTTTACCTGCCAGGTACCTGATTCTAATCTGAAAAGCGAGAGAATTGAATTTCATTCTTGCAATATCTCTTCCATGCATATGATAGTAGATCATTTCCTAAACAGGTGACACACTGTCAATTAGACCCTTCAGATTCCCAAAGGGGAAAATTTTTCAATGGTTGAATAATGTTGCATGTATTATTACCATATAGAAGGTTTATACAGCGTATCAGAATATAGGGACTGAGAAGTCTTGTAATAAAGGGACTATCTACAACTATCACTCCCAATCTGATTTAATCATGGAATTCTCTACTCACTTAATACCAAGTAACATCCTGTCAACCACTAACACTATTCTTCCTCAAAATAATCTTTGGAAAATGATGAAGGAGAATTTCAGCTGATGTTCTTATATTATTATTGACTTATTCACTACACAATTCTCTCATGTATCGTGAACAAAAAATTAAATGTCCGTTGCAGGGATGGCTTTATATGAACATGATGCTGGCATCCACTACCCTCATTCTTTTTCTGATCTCCAGACAGAGAGTTCTAGAATGAAGCAAGGACTAAACAAAAGACACATAAGGGAATTTCCATTCTGGATGAAATCTTTGGTCATAAAATCAAAGTGGTGAGTCAAAGGCTAGAGATGGAGGAGAATGGGAATGATTACTTAAATGTCATTAGCTGTTCTTCTGGGGTGATGAAAAAGTTGTGAAACTGGAGAGAGTTATGGCAGTTGCACAACACAGTGAGCACTAAATGCCACACAATTGTAGACTTTAAAATGGTTTATTGTAGAACAAGCAATTCTCCAATGAAGAAATACAAATGATCAATAGGCATATGAAAAAATGAGCAATATCACTAATTATCAGAGAAATGCAAATCAAAACTACAATGAGGTATCACCTCGCACCAGTCAGAATGGCCATCATTTAAAAGTCCACAAATGACAAATTCTGGAGAGGCTGTGGAGAAAGGCGAACCCTCCTGCACTGCTGGTGGGAATGCAGTTTGGTGCAGCCACTATGGAAAACAGTGTGGAGATTCCTCAAAAGACTAGGAATAGACTTACCATATGACCCAATAATTCTGCTTCTGGCCATATAACCAGAAGGAACCCTACTTCAAAAAGACACCTGCATCCCAATGTTCATAGCAGCACTATTTACAATAGTCAAGACATGGAAACAGCCTAAATGTCCATCAACAGATGACTAGATAAAGAAGATGTGGTAATTTATACAATGGAATACTATTCAGCCATAAAAAAGACAACATAACGCCATTTGCAGCAAGATGGATATCACTGGAGAATGTCATTCTAAGTGAAGTAAG